TTTGTTACATTGTGAAATATATCAAACATACAAAAAATAGTATTCATATGCAAATTTTATTTGCTTCATTAAAAAAAATTAGCAAAAAGCACTAGATAAGTTAAAGCCCTGCCATTTCATCTCTTTCTCTTCCTCTTTCTTCTCATGATAATGACTATCTTCAAGGTGGTATGTATTCTTTCCATGTTTGTTTTTATATTTCTGCCTTATGTGTATCCATGAACAACACAATACTTTTTGTGTGTTTAAAACTTTAAATAACTGGCATAATATTTTATATTACCTTTTGAAATTTACTTTTTTAACACATCATATTTTAGAGATTTATCTTTGTTGTTATATTTACACTGTATAGATTGCTATTATATACATAAATCACTTTGATTGCATTCTTCTAGTGGATATCAGTTTTTTCCAATTTTTGCTATTATAAAAAATGCTGCAATACACATGTGCTCAGTTTTTATAGGATATCTGCATAGAAATTGCTTCTCTCTTCAGGTGGTTTATAAGAACTTTTGCAAGGTACAAGTTTTTACTTTTAGGCGTTAATTGGGATTTATTTTTGTGTATACTGTGAGGTAGGGACCTCACTTTATCCTTTTCCATAAGGAAAAAATATTAAAATTTTTCCTTTTTTCACATTAAACTGAAATATTTCAGATATGTATCTCTCAGATAAAAACTTAAGAAAACAATCACAATGCTATTATCACACTTAAAAAATTAACAATAATTCCCTAACATTATTTAATCTCTCATCCATTTTGAAATTTCCCCAGGTACCTTTTCACAGTCGATTTCTTTGAATCAGAATTCAAATAAAGGCAACACATTGCATTTGGTTGACACATCTCTTAAGTCTTTAGTCTATTACACCTCCTCCTCTCCCAATTTTTTATGCCATTTATTTATTTAAGAAACAGGGTCTTTTGTAAAAATCCCACATTCTAGATTGATTGCATTCTTGTGGTATTGTTTAACATAGTCATCTATGTTGTGGGGTTAAGTGGGCTGTTGCACTGGTGGTAAAAGAATTTACCAAAGACAAAGGATGAAAATAGAAAAGGAGTTTATCAGGTGCTCTGCCATAGACAACAGCGGGCCACACACAGATGAGAGATGCCTGTGTGAGTACCGAGGATCTGTTACTGAGGTCTTTTATTAGGGAGGGTTACATAAGGTCCCAAGGGGTCACAAGGCACCTAATCGGCTTATGCACAAGTCTCTGATTGGTTGTAGGTGAGGTAAGAAGTTTAGGGTCTGTGAAGGGGCAGTGGGATTTATGACTCTGATAAGGTGGAGATGTGGGCTGAAACAAACCAACCAGAGCTGTTGTGAAATTAGGCATTACCTAGGGCTATTAATCTGTTAGGGCAAACATGCCTAGTAAAGAATGTACTTTATCTTTTGAAGGATCGCAGGCAGACATCTGAGAGCCCAGGAATGGGGGTTGCTGAACTTCGAAGGATGCCAATTGGCCCCACAATCTATCCACCACATTTCCTGTAAGCTAGTAATTTGACCTAAATGCCTGACTAGATTCCAGTTCAGTCCTTTTGGCAGGGATACTTCGTAGGTGGTTCTATGTACTTCCTATTTCATTACAGCAGGAGAAACATAATATCTGATTGTCCAATTTTTTAAATTAATATGCTTTAATTTTTTAGAACAGTTTTAGATTTACAGAAAAACTGAGCATATAGTAGAGTTCCTGGATTTACCCTACCTTCACTCCTGCAGTTTCCCCATTACTTACATCTTGCATTAATATGATATATTGCTGCAATTAATGAACTAATATTGATACCTTATTATAAACTAAAGTTCATAGCTTATTCATGTAACTGAGCGGGATCCTGTGGGGCCCTCCCAGGTACAAAAGCCCTTCTATGTCCCCATTTCTTGTTTATAGAAAAAGGTTTTAGTTTCTTAAACTTCCCCTGAGCTCCAAAGAGTAGACTCAAGTAGTTACTAATTAGAGGAGTTATGGAATGCAGAAACAAAGGAAGAGCAGTTAAGCAACATAGCTTGAACAGTAGTTCAGTGATAAAACAAAGTCCTAGTTCCTCTTCATGGGATATACATAACAATCTAACTCATATCTTTGAGTTGTTCTGCAGAAACTATGACCCTGGCCCAAGTGGAAGATGGTGACTACATGCTGACCACAAATAAGTAGACCCCAGACTGATTGGTACCAGAAATTTGATGATTAAGATTCCCAAAACTTCACCCTGTTACCTCACCACCAACCAATCAGAAGAAAGTCCATAAGCAGCAACCCTCACCTCAAATGTTGCCTTTAAAAACTCTTCCCTGAAAGCCATCAGGGAGTTTGAGTCTTTTGAGCATTAGCTGCCTGTCTGCCTTGCTTTACACCCTGCATATAAAGAAATTTATACTTTCTTTCACCACAACCTAGTGTCAACAGATTGGCTTTGCTGTGCGGTGGGCAAGTACATTCAAGTTTTGGTAACATTCAGATTTCGTTAGTTTTTAGTAATTGTCTTTTTTCTATTCCAGGATCCCAACCAGGATAGCAAGGCTGTCTCACTTTTAATCATGTTAATTTTGACCAGTAGGTTCAAGTATTTTCAGGTATATGGATCCACAGTAAAGTTCTCCATTCAATCTTCCTCTTAATGGTTTTAGTATCTGTTGGTAATCATTGCCTAGGTCCATTATTTCATTAGGAGTTGCAAAATTGTGGGTTTTTAAAATTCTATTTCATCTGTAATTGTTAGCTAGAATTCTCCTATAAAGAACTTCCCTTTTCAGCTATTTGGTTACTGTACAATTTACCTTGCATAGATTTTAATGGTTATAAATGTTAATGATTCTAATATACCTATGTGATATGTGTGAGAAATTCCAGTTACTTTTAACTTTTAAATTATTTGCACAAAAGTACAAAGAAAATATTTTACACTGCTAGTCAAAAGCTGTGGCTTTTATCTTCCTCTAAATAATTTCTGCCACTTATGCGGTCTGCTCTAAAACATGTTGAAAGGCTAATCATTAAGTTGCTTTTAAAGAAACAATTATAGTATATTTGTTTGAGCCAAAAATTTCCAGGCACTTAACTGGTATTAATAATTAGTCCTCAAAGATTTTTTTTAAAATTTAGTTATAATAAATACTATTCCTAATTAATTTGCATGATGTAGTGACAAATACCATAATAGTTTATAGCTGAAGCAACTGAGACCTAGAGAATTAAAGAAAGTGGTCTGAGGGAATTCACTAATTTAAATACACAGAATAATAAAGAGAATTAATAATAAAAATATAAAAGGGTATAACCCGTCTACAAAGGTATGACATGTCATTTGTTTCCCTTCTACCCAATACAATCTACTTGTGTAGAGCAAATTTAACTTTCTAATAGTAAAATATATTACATAATATTAGAACAGTAGAAAAAGAGTAAGTACATAGTAATCAGTCAGTAAGTGTTTCTAATAAAATACAGTTGCCTCTTGGGATCTAATTAACAAAATAGCCCCCATATTCACTATTCACTTTATTTTGCTCACAAACATCAATACCACAATTGTCTACAAATTAAGGTGGCATGATCCAAATTTTTAAACAGATCCCATGTAAGACGGGTTCCTTGATTAGTTCTTGAAAGAACTTTTCACATTTGTCCACCTCATGAACGTATTACCAGAAAGTATGTTTCTAAAACTGGGATATATACTTAACTGAATATGCTAGGCTTAGCTAATTTGTGCTGATGAACTGTGGAGGTAATAGCTGAGGATCAGAGAAACTTAGAATGGATACTGAAAGGGTGAAATGATGAATCCTAGTTGTGGTCTGAGACTAACTGCAGTTATGGGAGACCATAGCTTGTCTCACTAATCTTCCTCTTCTAAGTTTCCTCTTAAGAAAAGAAGCCCACAGGAACCATAGCAAATCTACTTCCCGAACATACATGAAGAAATGGATTTGTGCAGAACAAGAGGTGGACTGTGGTAGTCATGGAGGTGCCCAACTCAGATTTCCCTTTAAGAGATTCTGCTGCAGGGAGCATAGCTGATAGACAGCTAACACACTTTTGGGTCTAAAGCTTTTGGGTCAGGCCATGCTTCCCCTAGGCTATTCACAGTCAATGACTGAGCACAGCAGGTGTAAGAACCAGACCATTCCTATACAGAGCAGGATTCCTTTAACTGGCAACTTCAGCTCAGGGATTTCCCACTGGCCTGGGTGAGATTTTCTCAGACCTGTTCTGGGTCTGAGGCTCTTCCCACACAATCCACACAATCCTTCCTTCCCTCTCTCCTGTCACAAGTGTTAGACCTGCATCAGTCTCCCTATATACTCCTTCCCCTTTCCCCTTTGTCTTTCATCAAATTTCATCTTGGTGTCTGCTTCTCCATGGATTCAAATTGACATACTTTACATAAGAGTTTAGCCCTCTGGGTTTACACACAACTGTTTATAGCAAGTACAAACAATTTCTTGGAAAAGTATATAGATCAATAGATGGCTTAAGATTAGAATTACTTTAACTTTAAAATAACAGTAATGAAAATTTACATGTAAATAGTTGAATGGTTCTAAGCTCTTAATTAGTGATCAGAACATCTCTTGGGTTTTTGGTCTTAGAAGGTGCACCTATCCACTATGTAAGTATTATTCTCTAGCTTTGAGAAGGTGTGATTATGTATAACAGAACTTTCCTTCCAAAACTCTTCATAAATGTTATAGTAAAAGCAATTCAGAATTCAAATTCTACTTTTTCACTTGTTCTTAGCTTTTAAGAGTGGCTGTGAGATATTAAGTAAATCATATCAGCAGAAGTAGAATCAGGAAGTAAAAGGAGGAAGAGGTCAACCATAGTTCATGGTTTATTAATATTTTTTCTCCTACCAGCAGTAATACTATAGCTTTAGTTTGCTTTTTTTATAGTGCAAAGCAGACATAAATGGAAATAAGAAACCCTGGGCATCCTCAAAGCCAACTGATACTGGGCCTAATTTATCTACCTTGCATCTTGAATACTGTTCTGCACCATGCTGGGAAAGCTGTGGATCCCTTGAATGTTTTCTTTCGATTTCCTACCAGAAAAAATAAAGTCAAAGTTACGTGGCTTTGGATAAAATCATATGATACCCATCAAGAACAATGAAAGGAAGTTTGATTTGGGGAAAAAAGGAGCAGTATCATACTTTCTTGACTTATTTTAACCCCTGACCTCGGAAAATATCCAGCCCTTAACAAAAAAAACTTTATCTATACTACAGTGTTGACAATCAATATCAAATATCAAAATGGTATTGAAATGTTGAAATATCAAAAATGATACTTTTGTATCATCACGGAACTGCTCCCTTTTCTCTGGAGTGACTGTGAATTGTGACTCCAGGTTGATAAAGAAATAAACGTGACAAAAAATGTAAATATTAGAGTTTGTTATTTTAAATGTTTTAAGGGATAAAAATTAGGGACTCTCCAGATAATGCTGCTTGGGGTGTACATGCAGTGTTTTATTTTCTATTATCTAGTGAATGTATTTAAGTGCAAATACTTCCAAAGGACATTTGTTCCTTCAATTAATATTTACCAATTTACCACAATGGGCTAGGTATTGTTCTAGGTTTTAGGATATCTGGAGATCCTTAAAAGGGAAGATGACTCCCTGTTTGGCCCTAGAGACACACTTAGCTCAGCTATTCTTAGTGATGGCCTACTAATTTTGTCTCTTGATGGGGATTTTATGCATTATTATATCCTGGATTATGTAGTTTCTTTCAGTTTTCTTTCTGTAGTATTGTGCAATTTATGTCTAATAAATAGCAATCTAGATACCAATCTGCTGTTTTTTGAAGAGATGCCACATCTGAAGAAATTCTAGGGAGAACAGAGAAAACAACGAGGAAGAAATTATCAAAGAAATAAATCAAGAAGATTTAAAGAGCTAAAGCACACAGTACTCTGATAAAAAACTTACTGAGTGGCCAGCAGTTTAAATAAGAAAAAAGCCCACAGAATGGCACATATGCTCTGGGGAAAAAAGTGAAGATGCTAAGAACTTTCAGAGAAAAACATAACAGATCAAGAATTAAAATTTTATCTTACTTCTTGAGACCAATACTGGAAGCTAGGAGACAGTGGTATAATGTCTCATAAATCTTCAAGGAAAATTATTTCTAATCTAGAGTTCTACACCTAGTCATGCTATCAGTTAAGCAAGCATACAGCCAGACTAAAGACAATTTCAGACATATAAAATCTCAAAAACTTTGTTACCACCAGAAAGAATAAACTTAAAAAAAAAGGAAATGCTCATTGAAAAAGAGGGAGAAAAGCAAGAAAGAAGACAAAGGATCCAGGTACTAGGCAATTCATCTTAGGAGAGAGATGGAGGGAATTCTCAAATTGATAATGAAGGCAAGTTCATGGATAACAGCTGTACAGGAGACCAACAAAACAAAAGACAGAGATGGGGGTTCCAAGAGGCACAAAAATTGGAAATGAGAGCCTTTCTAATGAGTTTGAACATATTAATAAAAATATTCATTCACAACAATATTTATTGAGTGACTACCTTGAGCCACAAATATTACTCTCATAGAGCTTTAATTCTAGCAGAAGGAATAAGATGATAAACATAATCAGTAAATTCTATATTAGAAGGTAATAAAAGCTATGAAAAAAACAAAGCAAAGTAAGGAGGATTAAAATTGCTCTATGTGGAGAGGGGGTAGAGTGTGTATTACAACTTAAAATAGGATGGTGAGGAGAGACCTTATTGACACTTCAGCTAAAACCTGAGAATTGGGCTGGAAAGAACTGGAATTAAGGAGTTAGTCATGTGGCTACCTGGCAGAAGAACTTTCTAGGCAGAGAGAACTGCCAGTAGGGGTGGAGAGATGTGAGAAGGAAAGATGCCAGAGCAGCAGTAGGACATGAGGTCAGAGAGGTTCGTGGTGGGGGATGTGTCATGCACGGCTCTGTAGATCACTGTAATAACTGGCTTTTCTCTGAGGGAAATGGAGATCCATTGTAGGGGTTGAAAGGACTGGCTCATACTTTAGAAGGATCACTCTTCCGCTATGTGAGAACAGACTATTGGCAGATAAGGGTGGAAATAGGGAGATAATAAGGAGGCAACTGGATTGCCTTATAAAGAAGAAATTATCCTAGTAATTCAAGCAAGAGACGTTGGTAGCACAGACGACAGTGGTGTATCTGTTGAAGGGCTGAAAGAATGATTAGTGATGGACACGTAGAAAACTAAGCAAAGTTAAGAAATGAGTCAAGTACTAACTATAGGAAAAACAGAAATGATATAAGAAAGGAAAGGTAATTGTAGTAGTTTACATGACTAAGTTGTGAATAACATTTCTACACTCATAATCATGGAAACACAAAATGTTAATTTAACCAAATATTATTGTATGGTTATATTGGGAGGGTATGTGGTGAGAGTATGGCTAATTTCTTTAACATTCAGAATTCCTATACATTACTTTAAAAAAAATGAGTAGGAAAACATGCAAAAGATACAAACAGTTTAAAGAAAAAAGAAAACGGACAAATGGGTCTTAAACTTATAAAAAGAAGCTTAACTTCCCTCAAAATAAAAGAAAGGGAAAGCTAAAACTACATAGAGATGTCACTTTTCACCTAATCAGATTGGAAAAGATCCAGAAGTATGATAACACTCTATGTTGGGGAGGATATGACTAAACAGGCATTTTCATACATTCCTGGTGGGAATAAAAATTGGTACAGCAATTTGGCAAAATCTATCAAAGTCAACCCTTCTGAGTTGGACATGGAGATGGGCCACCCAGATATTCTCCCTTAAAGGAAGGTCTTGTTGTCCCAGCTGCTGGAAGATCGGTCAGCAGATCATCTTCAACTGTTAGGCCCTGCATATTTTGCCTCAGCTGCAAAGAGTTGCCTCATCAAAGGTCAGTGCCTTCCTGGGGCACCCCACATCCAGTGGCTGATGTAGGAGAGTGTACAAAGGCCATTTCCACCCCAGGTGGCCCAATTTTGATAGGTCATTCAGCTCCATGCCTTCCCTGTGGGGTTGGCTGAGGCTGCTGGTCACCTTGAAAGCTCAGCTTCTCCTGCTCAATCCCACTTCCTCCTTTTCCCTTCCGCAGCTGTTGAACCCAAGGGCGCTCCCTAATAAACATAATGAACTCTAAATTTCTATCGTAGAATCTGCTTCCTGGAAAACCTAACCTGTGAAAATTTTTACCCACAACTCCACTTCTAGGAATTTATTCTGTAGATTACCTACACATAGGCAAAATGATGTATATTCAAGGTTATCATAGCATATTATTTGTATGGGCAAAAATTAGAAACATTCTAAACGTCTGACTAAATAAACCAAGTGATTCAATAAAGGCACGTTTATACAGTGGAATACCACATAGCTACATATAAAACTGAGGAAGACCTTTATATAATGTTAGAAAAGGTATTCAAAGTGTGTGTGAAAAAAACCAAAAAAACGAAGTGTGTGTGTGTGTTTGTATATGCATGAAGGATGTATAAAAACTAATGTCATTTGTTACTCAGAGTAGATTTGGGTGCCTCAGGGACAGAGATGGAAGGGAGATATTTTTTTAACACCTTTATTGTGGTATGATTCCTGTACAGTAAACTACACGTATTTCAGATGTACAATTTGATGAATTTTTATAGATATATACACCAATGAAATCACCACCACAATCAAGGTAGCTAACATTTCCATCACTTCCCAAGACCTGGGGGTCTTAGCCTGCTTCCCCATCTGCAATTGAATAAAAACAGTCTCCATCTATAGGCTGGTTGTAAACAAACATTGGGTTGCATGTAAAGTGCTAGCGCAGTGTCAGGAACACAATCATTTGTGGTTCTTAGGGTAGTGGGGAGGGACCGTCCTCTGAGAACAAATGGAGAAAATAGTGGGTTTTGCTTACTTCACAATTTAATCCAGAGATAAGTTTTGTCTGCCTTCTATTGTTTCCATGGTTGTAGGCTTTCCTCTAGTTCGGCTAAGGAAATTGTTGAAGAAATTTTTATTTAAAAGTTCTCTGGTATCCTAATCAGAATAGTTTCATTCTATTTCTAGGGCAGAAGAGAGGATCCTTCTCCAGCCTCACTGCTGAGAGTAACAGCAGAGAAAAAACGTTACTAGCAGCTTAGGGGCTAAATATTCCAATGATGCTAATTTCCAAAGAACACCTGAAAAACCTATACAGTAGAGGAAGCGGCGGGGCGGTTTTTAAATTGGAAAAAGCTTCAGGGTCACGAAATAGGCAAATTTTACCAGAAGCCTAAAATATAAATGCAGTTCGAAAAGAACGAATCCCAACTCACTGTGGTCCAGTTTTCTTTTCACTGACTCTTTTTCGCTTCGTCAACACGTAAACAAGTACCAACAAAATAGCAGCCGGCCCGAGAAATCGCTTTAACAGACTCCTGTACGGGCTCTGTGTGTGAGGGGGAACGCCCCAGAAACAGCCGGAGAGCTTCTGGGCGCCCTCCCACTCTCCCGCCTCAACACTGCGGGGCGGGGCCCGAGGCGGGGGTGGGGCCCGAGGCCCGGGAGGGGCGGGTTGCTTCCCCGGCACCTTTTCCTCCTTGCCCCTCCCACAGGCATTTCGCCACGATCCCGACAGGCTTAGCGGCCACGGGAGTCACATGAGGGTGGGCGGAGGAGGTGGCGGCTTGTCGCCTGTCTCTCCGTCTCTATGGTTTTCAGAAGTGGGCGGCTTTGACTGGGAAGCAGCTGGAACTCCAGCGTGTAGACAGGTAAGTCCTGGACCCTGAAGGGATTGAGACGACAGCCATTTAGGGAAGACCACGGGGAAAGGTATGCGAACGCTTTGGAGACCTGACCTCTGGGGCCGGCCGTTTGTCAGCTCTGGGATCAGGCGACTTCTCTGGGCGAGCGGGATAGCTGTCTCTCCCTGATGTGCTCAGTTTAGGGGCTTGAGACGAGTCCTTAGTCCTTCCTGCTAATCCTCCTCCTCTTTCTTTCATCTCATCCCGTCTCTTCTCCCTGTCTCGGGAGAACTTCTGCCGAGTTCCCGACCGCAGGTTTCACTTGAGCGTTGACGTCCCTCTTCTCAACGGGCGACCAGGGACATATCCCCTGGGATTTGTGGATGTGGTTGGAAGTAGGTAGGGAGTATACAGTTAGATCTCTGATGGGGGGAGTATTAATCATTGAAACGAAAAAAGAAGTGGAAAAATCAGTGGAAACCTGAAGGAACAAAGTGCAGACTTCTTGGACTGTTCAGTTTATATCTTTTCCAGTGCCTTACCCGTTTTCATTCTCAGGTTTCTTTCTCACCATGCCATTCTGGCGCGCCATACGATGTTCTGAGAATGAGCCGGGCGTTATTGACTCATTGTGAATGTTGGGAGATGAGTTTTAAACGACCGGTATTTTAAGTTGCGATCTCTGTAATCTTACGGTTTCTTTACCTACTCTTTCAGATGCCTGAAAAGTTTTTAGATATTTGTAAATATAAGTAGAATAACCATTTTATAGCTAAGTGGCTGGAGTAAAACATTTTATTCTCCTTGTGGTACCTGGAAAGACCTATTTCTATTTTATAAATAGGTAAGTCTGTAAGTTTGGGGGCGGTTTTTTGGGTATACCTTTGTTTATGTTGAAGTATTCCTTTGGGTTTGCACTTTGTGCAAGTGATCTTGCCATAGAAAGAAGTCAAATAGTTTAGGGGTGATAACTGTAGGAGAGTTTAGGTTTTATTAAACCATATGACAAATTAATAAAATGTCAGCATCTAGAAACATAGGTGTTGGCCAGGATAACCAACCCATTATGTTCCTGGTGTTGAGTAAAGTAGAGCTTGTTAAATATTGTTTTTAGAACCCACTGCCACTTGCTTGTGAGATATTGCCTCTAGCCTCTAGCTACTCTAAGTGTACTTACTGACTGAGGATTATAAAACACAAAGTAGTGCTAATAAAAAGTAAAGATTCAGGAGTGGGTTGTGTGCCTGGAGAGAAAGAGAAAGAGTGATAGAAACTAATAAGAGCAAGAGAACAAAAGAGTGCATTGCTCTCTAAATTTATAGTCTGTAAAAACATTTACTGTATTCAGTAGACTTTTTACATTCCCGAGTGGTGCATCTTGAGACTGACTTTCCTGTATTTAACAATGGTATGTAATTTCTTCGATAATGCAATATTATGTAAAATAATTATAACTGAAAGATTTAACTGACTCTTTAGATCTTATATTATTCAGAATTATAGGACTAAAGAAATGGATAAAGTTATTACACCTAATTTGGTCACTTTTTAAAATGTTTTTATTTTTATTTTTTGCAAGGGAGGTAGTTAGGTTTATTTGTTTGTTTGTTTAATGGAGGTACTGGGGATTGAACCCAGGACCTCGTGCATGCTAAGCACACACTCTACCCCTGAGCTATACCCTCCCCCCGAATTTGGCCACTTTTAATCCTTAGTTTTCCTTCTTGAGCAGTTTTTACAATGACTACAGCACTAACTGAACGTTTATAATTTTTTCCATATGGAGTAGATGTTTGTTTTTTTTTTAAATTTCCTTTAAAAGAGTACCAACCTTTTAAAGAAGTTTACTCACAACCCTCCCTCCCCCAAATGAAAATAACTTTATTTTGTACCATGGGAAAAAGTTGATTCTTTTTTAAGTAGATGTTTACTCACTTTGGTAAATTATGAGAAAATTATTAATGCTTTTAAGACATTAAATGTTGATATCTGAGCATATTTGAGAAGGAAACAGGAGTTGTATTTGAAAATGTTTTATATTTCCTGTTATAAAAGTAACATTTGCTTATTTTTGAAAAATGGAAACATTGTAGAAAATATAACACTGAAAGTCAAAATCCTAATTTATCTTTTCCCTTGCCACCAGGTAACCACTGGTTCCTCTTGCATTTTGGGAATCAATGTGGAAAAGTAGAGTCTGGAGTTGAACTCCCTGGGAAAGATAGTACTAATAGCACTAGGCTTACATCCTACAACCTCAGAAACTTCAGAAGAGAGAAAACATCTCTTTCTCTGTAATTCTAGCAAACTACTGTATGGGAGTCCCATTGGCCTGACTTGGGCATCCCATCCTACAGGCAATCTCTGTGGCCAGGCAGATGGAATGGTTTATGTGACTGGGATTGCATCTTGTTCCCACCTTGGAGTGGGGTGAAGGGGAATACAGTTTCAAACCACATGAATTAAGAGGAGGTGATGTATAGTTCCAAAAGGAGAGTTGAGGTGTCATTTCTTAGAGAAGGGAGAAAGACTGCCGGGCAGGCAAAAACAGCAGATGTTTGCTAAAATAATTTTACATGTATTTTTAAAAAATTAATTGCTTTTCAATTAATAGAAATTAATTGTATTTTATGGTTTGCATGTTGATTTTTCCTTTTTAATTGTTTGTTATTTTATTAATTTATAGAACATGAAATTTAAGGTCTTCAAGTGCACCTGTTTGTATCATTGTTAGTTGTATAGTACTCATTCTCTGGAGTATTCAGCCTTTCTAACTTTAAACGTATGGTATATACTTAGCCAGTTTTTTAAAATTGATTATTGGTAAGTATTTTTTTTGTACTGTGGGTGAACTTGATTATATAAATTGCAGTTTATAAACAGTAAATTAAAGTGTTTTAAATACTTAAGTATAAGTGGGGGAGGGTGTAGCTCAAGCAGTAGAGCACATACTTAGCATGCATGAGATTCTGGGTTCAATCCTTGGCATCTCCTCCAAAAATAAATAAGTAAACTTAATTACCTCCCCTTGCCAACAAACAAACAAACAAACAAATAAATATTTAAGTATGCATAGTGAATATGATTACTTGCTTGATTCTTTTAATTATTCAATGTTCAAAAGCTGTGTAGAAATTACTTCATTTTAAGCATTGTATAAAAAATGAAAATTGCAGTAAGTGCTGGGTGTTAACTTTAAGACTATAGTTAACAGTAATGTCTGGTTTTGTATCTTTACGGTTCTGATGGTTTGTTATTTTTTAAGAGAAAATATAATTGAAGCAAGCAACATATTGTTTACTCCACTCTCTTGTTTTCATTTAAAAGATGTTGGCATCTCAATTCAATGGCTGTTTGAACTTTAATTGCTGACAGCTGTGGCGTAGGTTTTAGTCTGTATTCTGAAACCCAACTCTATCACTTCCTGATTTTGAGCAAGTTACTTAATCTCTCTGAACTTGAGTTTATTTCATTTGCAAGTGGAAGTGATAATACCTGTCTCATAGGGGTTTTGTGAGGATTTATTAATGTATGCCAAGTGCCTGGGTATAGTATAGTAGGTTCTCATTAAATGTAATTGCTAATAATAACAGTAACAAAAAATAATGTCTAAAAGAATTTATTTTCCCAATTTCAGAATATTTGGCCCCAGAGAGGTTAAAATATATACATGTCTGAGAAATGAACTAGATTGTTCTTTATTCAGTTTGTCTTGATTTCATTAGGTTTTAAAATTCCATGTTACATATATAGCAATAAACTAGAAAACTTTGTTTAAGTGACATAATTGTTAGTGGACTACCCAAGTATTTGAAGATTGCTTAATCCAAATATGATAACTGTCAGGCTCGGGGAAATGTACTGAGTGAATTTTACACAGACTCTGAGCTTGGTAAAGCTCAGAAAGTGGAAGATAGCCTGTTCCTTCATTATACAAGAGGAGCTAGGTGTTGAGTACCTTGAAAGTTCAAATGAGAATATATGGTGACTTTAGATAATAGGGAGAAATGGTAAAAATGAATTTGTTTTTATTTTTAAGGGTAAGTTCAGGGTAATACTCCTACAAAGAAGTAATACTTTGAGAACATGATGGGCTGGACACCTGCAGATGGAAGAGATAACAGTTTAGAATGTTGCTTGAAAAACCATGAAAGGCAACTGTGGAATTGAACAACTGTGAGAAGTGATTGACATTAGATATAATTAATGATCTGGTATTGGGAAGTTAAATACTGTGGCATTGGGAGGAGAAGTGTTTTTAGCTCTGTTAATGAGAAAATAAACAACTAGAACTAGATAACCTTTTTTCCCCTAAACTGACAGAGTAATCAGGGTTTTTTTTGTTTTGTTTTTGTTTTTGCAAATTGTAAATATTCCTAGCCAACTTAAGCCAACTTAAGGTAGGTTTTACTATGAGAAAAATGAAACTTTAGTGTAATCTTTGGGAGATAGATCCTCATCATTCATGTCAGGTGTGCAAATAATATTCCATTTCTCTTCAAAGTGATTTAATGTTGGCCATTTAAAAGTTAAAGTGCCTGTCTTAATAAACCTTGCTTATTCTGAGTTGGACAGTTATTGCTGTCTATTTATAAGCTCTACTTGCAATTTAGATTTTGCTTTTTAAAGTTTGTTCATTGGGATATTGGAATTAAACCAACAAGTTAATTTTTTTCTTTTTTAAAAAATAAGCATCAGTACTTTGACTGCTTTTATCCTAGTAGAATTAAGTGAGCATTCTATATAACATGGCACATAAAGGGAATTAGAAT